CACTAACTCAGCTTAGAGGGAACACTGATATCTACCCATTAATACCCTCACAACAAATATATTTTCCAGCAGCAACACCAACAGTTATCATCATTCCATTTTCCGTCTTCATTTCATTTTCCCAATAATTAACTCTTAAGTCTTAAGTAGTACATACCACCATTAATAATCATTTTGAATCTCTAAACAATCATTAAACCAACTGTCTCTCCTTGTCAACCTACTTTCTCAACCTCCAATACTAAAGAGCTTTCTATACAATGTTTCTATTAATTTTTAGCTTTATATCCTATTTTACTACATTTTTTGTTTTATTTATATGTAAATAAATAAATAAAAATAACCATATTAACTGTTTGGTTTTGAGAAATAAGAGAAGAGAAGAAGATCGCCTAACCACAGATGAAGACTTGACTTTAACTTTAACTATAAAAAAGTCTAACTTACTAATAGTTAACATCCCTCTAAGCTGAGTTAGTGTGAGCCAGCTCACAGATTTCTAGCCTCCGGCTCACACATTTTTGTCTCGGCTCAGGAAGGGAGGGCTCCAGAGCAAACTGATTTATGCAGCAGCCAAATCGCCCGCTCACAACTGTAGTGCCAGTCGCTCACAAAGTAGAATTTTTGCTCACAAGACTCCACAGCTTAGAGGGAACATTGGTTGACATCACTCAACGCTTTTCTTTATCCCTCTATATCCCCTTCCTGATTTTCTAAGTGTAAAAGCAAAATTCTCTCCTTTTTAGGAGAGGGAAATAAATCTTATTTTTTTTTTTTAAAAAAAAAGAACTAGGGAGGGGGAGGAAACAACTTGCCTGGGCTTCCAAGCAGGCCGGCGGGGAGCAGCCTGCGCCACGGTTGCCAACCTCCAGGTGGGGGCTGGACTGGCAAGTGTTGCCTCCCAGCCACAAAGTCGTCTTGTGCCGAATCAGGCTCCGAGGCAGGCTGCGCTCTCACACACGAAAGAATCCACTTTCCATCCACTTTCCAACCAGTGTTCTCTCTAAGCTGAGTTAGTGTGAGCCAGCTCACAGTTTTTTAGCCTCTGGCTCACACCTTTTTGTCTTGGCTCAGGACGAAGGGCTCCAGAGCAAACTAACCTACGCACGCAACACATTGCTGGCTCACAACTTTAATGCCAGTCGCTCACAAAGACGAATTTTTGCTCACAAGACTCCACGGCTTAGAGGGAACATTGTTTCCAACTGTATCTTGCCAGTCCACACAACAGGCCAGGTCTGCCTCTGGCATTCGCTCCACATTTTCTCAAGGGGGAAGGAAAGGTGCCGCCCCAAACCCCATTCAGATACCCCCCTCCCCGCAACGCCGGTACTGACTGCAAAGTCACCCCTGCCATAAATCTATGCAGAAGGTACCATAAAATCCGATGCCCAAAGGAAGCGAAAGCAGCATGGGGTGTGGAGGCTACCGTAAAACCCGAGGATCAAAGGGAGTGAAAGCGGCATGCCGTGCAGAAGGGAATTTCTGTTCCAATGTCGGCTTAGAGAACAACAGAGGGGAAAGCCAATGCAGAATCAGCCACGGTAAAATCCATTTGGAAAGTGCGTTGAAAGTGGATCGTTTAGTGTGTGTGATCGCAGCCTCAGTATAGTCTACCAGGGGTCATTTTGTAGAAAAAGAGGTGCAGGAGCTCATTAGCATAACTCATTAGCATAACGTATTCGCATATGCCACACCCCCTGACCTCACCGGAAGTGTGTCAGGAGGCAACACCCACCGCTCAGGCTCCACTGGACTGTTTTGGATTGCTAACTATTGGGGGGGGGGTCCCCCCGACCGTCGTGCCTTTGTGGGAACATATGGGGAAAGGCGGTCCCTTAGGTATGTCGGACCCTGACCATAAAGGGCTTTAAAGGTAAGAACTGGCACTTTGAAGCAGATCTGGTATGCTATTGGCAGCCAGTGCAGCGCCTTCAGCACAGGCTGGATGTGGTCCCGCCTAGGGACTCGGGAGACGCGTCAACGGCCTGGCTGCTGCATTCTGCACTAGCTGCAGCTTCCGGATTTGCAACAAAGGCAGCCCCAAGTAGAGAGCATTACAGTAGTCCAGCCTCGAGGTGACCGTCACATGGATCACTGTAGCCACGTCATCACAGTCAAGGAAGGGAACCAACTGCCATGCCAGCCAAAGATGATAAAAGGCCGACTTGGCAGTGGCTGCTATCAAGGCCTCCATCGTTAAAGAGAAGTCCAGGAGCACTCCCAAACTCCTAACTACCCTTCACTTACAAACTCCTTTCCTCTTCCCCTCCCCACAACAGACATCCTGTGAGGCAGGCGGGGGCTGAGGGCGCTCTTTCCAGAAACTGCTCTTTCAAGAACAGCTGTGAGAGAACTTGTGACTGACCCAAGGTCACCCAGCAAGGAACCTTGCACAGTTCCGCAGGGCCTGCAAGACGGAGCTCTTCCGCCAGGCGTTTGAGTAGGAGCCGCCGCGACTGTTACCATCTGTCTGCGACTGTTACCATCTGTCCTGGCCCTTTATTACCAACTCGCCGTGAGCGCTAAAATGGTGGTACTGCGTGGAGCTGTGGCCACTAAGGATACCATCCTGATGACGTCATCGGTTCCCTTGTTAGTTGTTGTGGAGAGCACCTGTGTTATAGTGAATGTTTTTAAAATGCAGTTTTAATGTTTTATGTATTGGGCATTGGCCCCATCTGTACGCCGCCCTGAGCCCGTTCGCGGGGAGGGCGGGTTATACATTTAAATAAATAAATATGTGGAGGAGGAGTGGGGAATCAAACTGGATTCTTCAGATTAGAGTCTGCCGCTCTTCACCACTACATCAATTTGGCTAGTATTTGGACGCGAGGCCGAGGCAGGCAGCGGCAAAGCCACCTCTGTTCGTCTCTTGCCTTGAAAGCCCTCCGGGGTTGCCGTAAATTGGCTGTGACCTTGACGGCACTTTACACGCACGAACACACCCAGCAAGCCACGCTCCCTCTAAGCTGTGGAGTCTTGTGAGCAAAAGTTCTACTCTGTGAGCTCCTGGCATTAGAGCTGCGAGCGAGCCATTGGGCTGCGGCATCAATTAATTTCCTCTGGAGCCATCCTCCCGGAGCGAAGACGAGAATGTGTGAGGCAGAGGCTAGAAGACGGTGAGCTCACGCACGCTCACTCAGCTTAGAGGGAACACTGCTGGCAAGAGAGATCCAGGAGGGGAGGGAGGGGCTGTGGCTCAGCGGAACGGCCTCTTCTTTGTACACAGAAGACCCCAGGCTCAGTCCCCGGCCTCTCAGGCTAAAAGGATCAGGGAGTTCACAATGTGGAAGAACTCTGCCTGAGACCCTGGAGACCCGCTGCTAGTCTGAGTGGACAACGCTGATCCTGACAGGCCAGTGGTCTCTTTCCATGTACCACTGCTTCACGTGTGAAGCCTTAGTCTGCCATAAAAGAGCGAGATTCAAGTCCAATAGCAACTTAGAGAGTCAGCTGAGTGTAGTAGTCAAGAGCAATGTTCCCTCTAAGCTCTGGAGTCTTGTGAGCAAAAATTCTACTCTGTGAGCTACTGGCATTGAAGGTGTGAGCAAGCGATTTGGCTGCTGAATAAATCAGTTTGCTCTGGAGCCTTCCTTCCTGAGCCAAGATGAAAATGTGTGAGCTGGAGGCTAAAAAACTGTGAGCTGGCTCACACTAACTCAGCCTCCAGGGAACACTGGTCAAGAGTGACGGACTCTAATCTGGAGAACCAGGTTTAAGGAGATAAGAACATAAGAGAAGCCAATGTTGTATCAGGCCAAAGGCCCATCCAGTCCAACACTCTGTGTCACACAGTGGCCAGAAATACCAGGGGCCATCAGGAGGTCCACCAGCGGGGCCAGGACATTAGAAGCCCTCCCACTGTTGACCCCCCCCCAAGCACCAAGAATACAGAGCATCACTTGCCCCAGACTGAGAGCCCCTATCTATACCTTGTGGCCCAGGAGCCATTGATGGACCTCTACTCCATATGCTTACCTAATTCCCACTTGAAGCTGTCCATGCTTGTAGCCGCCACCACCCCCTGTGGAAGTGAATTCCAGGTGTTAACCACTCTTTGAATGAAGAAGGACTTGCTTTTCTTCGTTCTAACCTGACTGCTCAGCAATTTCATGTGGTGCCCACAAGTTCTTGTATTGTGAGAAAGGGAGAAAAGTGGTGGTTTGGCTCACTACTCCTCCACACGCGGCCAGCTGGGTGATCTTGGGCCAGTCACTGTTCTCT